GTTCCTTTATAAAAGAGACTAATTCAAAATTTCATTTCCCTCCATTTCTTTTCCCACCATTTTTTCATTCACACCTCCTTTTGTTTTAATTAAAAAAAACCCAACATATATCGACCCCCTTGCTTCAAGTAGACCAGGTAAGCCAACCTATGATGATGATTTTGGATGTACTTTAACATTATTTCAAAATATTTACTGTAAGCTACTCAAACATTTTTGTTCAAAAATCACAAATACGTAACTTACAGTGACTTTGATGCTTCCACTTTGCCTGAATTCATAATCATTAATGTAGTCATAATTCCCTACAGTTGACACCATTCTCACCACCAGGCTCACCTCTGGTCTAACTTGTGTTATCTGCAGTTGAAAATTTTCAAATGAAGGAATAAGAGTGACCCCAAAATTATTTTAAGGAAGAACCTTATATATACTTTTCCTGGAATCCCAAGTTCTGTATGGCGCCACGTGATATCTCCAACTAACATAAAGTTCAAATATACAAATTACGTTAGGCATTTTCCCTGGAGTACCATCAATAAACTTTGCATTTTCTGGGCAGTCCTTTGATGCTTAGCTTGAAGCTCCACAGCACAAAGACCCAATCCATATTCGCCTTCATCGAAATAGGTCCTATAGTGCCAATCTTCAGTCAGGTCCATGTATGGTACAAAGACTTCTGACACAAATCCTCTGTACAAAACACTCCTAAATTCTTCCTTTTCAGCATTAAAGATTGATGCTACTGATATGCAGGGGCGGAGCCACATTGTTGGCTGCGGGTTCGACCGAACCCAGTAACTTTTGTTCAAACCCTGTATTTGTATTTAGAAATCTAATAAATAAGTACAAACTCAGTAACTTAAAAGGATTATAATCTCAAACTCATAAGGTTAAAATCGTAGTTTCCCCTCTGCTGATATGGTTATTCATGCTCTCATATCATAAGCTACAAGAAATTATCAACCAGCGAACCTAAATTCAGGAAAAAACATGTCATTCTTCAGCAATGCTTTGGTTTATCATTAAAAGCTATTCAGCATTTTCTTTTCTTTAAAAGCATAATATATCAAGGCGTTTCTTCTAATGAATCTAATCTTTACCTCACTATGTTTCCATCTAGAGTAAAACTTGGTCCATTTGGCTGCACTATTTTTATTCCATCTCATTGCAAGTTGGAGTGAGGCCTTTGTTTTGGTTCCATGTAATCGGTCCCATTAGCTTTGGGGACCGGGAGCATCAAACGATCAAGGTACCTCACAATTTTCATCTGATCAAGAACAACAGTTATTGTAATTCCCTCAATATATAGATTAATTGTGCCATCTAAGTAATAGCACATGACTTTAACCATTATGTTACTGCGTTCCTTTTCTCTCCATACCATCCAACAGCGGAACATTGGCACACCACCTCTTTTAGCTTTAGCTCTCTCTTTTTAATGGAGGATATAAATGGTGGATATGTGAATGGTAACTTGTTAGCAGCTTCCTGTCTTGAAAGGTAAGCATGGGGTAACCATGTCCATCAAATATTTTAGCTGATAAAACTGAAACACTCGATAAGTCTACGATGATTTCATGTGTTTTTTTTATCAATTCTAGCGATAACAATAGCTTGGCGAGGTAGGTTCTTGGTGGGATGATTGGCTGATATCCATGAAAGGACTAATGATTTCTCTGGTTCATTTAGGCCTACATAATGAAAGGTTACATTAAGGGGAAAAGTGGACTTTTTGACTATGGTTTTTAACTTATTGAGTTCAGATTGATTGAGAGGGTCCAGTGGGTGGTGGTAATCAAGGGATGATGTTGCTGTATTAACAAAGAAGAAAAAGAAGAAGATGAGGGAAATCTTGAAGAATAAAAGCATTATTCTTGCTATTAGAAAGTTGTAACTTGAGAATCTCAGGAAAGACATGAATCCTACAGTTGATATGGTTGATGAGTATTCTGATGATTTTTTGATGTTAAAATAAAAAAAGGAAAATCAAATGAAAATTCAGCAGCCACATATACTAAATGATATTGTAGACAGAATCCTGCAGCACCTTGACTTGTCTTTGAGGCCTCTGTCAAGTCAAGATTCCTACAAATAGTTGTGATTTTGGGACCTCAACGCATAAAGCAACAAGTGAGAAACAAAAGAGCTATGTCTAGCAATTTTGCTCGGACTCTCCGAAAATGTTGCCGGTGCATGTCGGATCCTTCAAAAATAGTGTAATTTTGGAGGATCCGACACGGGTGCGGCATCATTTTAGAGAGTCCGTGCAACATAGATGTATAGATAGCTGTAAGCTTAATTATTTATTTTAAGTTAGTAAATTTGAGAGTGGTGTGTGAAAAATGTGCAATATACTGCCAAGTACTTCTTGTAACAATTTGAACTAAAGCATACTAGATCTGCCTCACTTCTTAGATTTCTTGGGATATTTCTTGAAATATATTTCGCACATTTGAGTCTTTATGTAAGTGCCAAATCATTCAAGTAAATTCACTATTATTTGTCTCAATATTTGTTAGACAGGTTTAAATTGAACGATAGGAACGGTGAGAATTCATATAACTTAATCGAATTTACTTGAAGTTGAGGCATAGTTGTTACTACGTGTGTGCATAGTTTGGAAATTTTAACTCTTCTGATTTTTGGTTCGGTTTTTCTCGAATTTAATTAATAAAATTTCGGATATCTATATGATAAGATTTCAGATGGGGTGATTTGTATTGGAACAATAGTCCTTGTTACTAGTAGTTATCAATTTGTTTTCGGAAAAGGGCCAACAATACCACTGTCACGACCCAAAATCTCACCTGTCGTGATGGCGCCTATCTCGATAGGCAAGTCGACAACATCAATAACCCCCGATTTCCTTTAAATACCGAAAACATAATAATTAAGTTTAAGAGTAAATCCCACAAACATTAGAAATAAACACACTCTCAAAACCTGGTGTCACTGAGTACATGAGCATCTATACATTACAAGTCTGGGAAACACGGTGTATAATAATCTGAGACCAAATACAATAGACAAAAAAAAAATAGGGAAGGAAAGACAAGGTCTGCGAAACATGGCAGCTACCTCTGAATCTCCGAAAAATCAACTGTGTGAAAGAATCAACACTCACTGTATCCGGGATCACCTGGATCTACACACGAAGTGCAGGGTGTAGTATGAGTACAACCAACTCAGTAAGTAACAATAATAAATAAACAACTGGAAGTAGTGACGAGTTTCTCATCTAAGTCCAAATACATTACTTTTCAATATAAAAGAGTAGGCATGCTCGCAAGTTCAACATTTAAGATTTCACTAAAATTTCATATCAAGTTTGACCGAAATAGAAATAATATTTTCCAAAAATCTTCAAAATAGTGATATATAACAGCTGAAATGCAGCAATTAATGAAATCAATGCATCCTCTTAGAGTGCCAGTTACTCAGTCCTCTCATTCACTCCAACCTCATAATCACTCTTTCCTCCTAGTCACTCTTTCCTCACAGTCACTCATTACTCGGCACTCGCAATCGGCACTCGTACTCGGCACTCGCACTAGGCGCTCGCACTCAGTAGGTACATGCGCTCACTAGAGGTGTGTACAGACTCCGGGGGGGTTCCTTCAGCCCAAGCGTTATACCAAGCCAATCATGGCATAAATCAATAAACATGTTGCGGCGTGCAACCCGATTCATAAATATCCTCACAATTAGGCCCTCGGCCTCACTCAGTCATCAACCTCTCCAGTCTCTCGGGCTCTCAGAAATCATGATAAGCAGCCCAACAATAGTGATATGATGCATCAATAATAAATAAGAAAGACTGAGGTATGATATAAAATAAATAAACATGACTGAGTGAAAAATTACAATTTTAACATATTATTCAACCACAGAAATGACCCCAGTGGGTACCAATAATAACAAAATATGTCAAAACATGAATTTTAATACTCAATATTTCCCTATCACGTAGAGAATGTACGGATATCAACAGATAATTCAACTACACAGTTCCAAGGAATTTGACCAAGTCACAATTGCTACGGTGCACGCTCACACGCCTGTCACCTAGCATGTGCGTCACCTCAAAACCACTCACATAACATATAATCTGGGGTTTCATACCCTCAGAACCAAATTTAAAACTGTTACTTACCTCAAACTATGAAATTCTTATTCTACTAAGCCTATGCCTCGTGAATTGACCTCCAAACGCCTCGAATCTAGTCACAAATAATTTGTTTCAGTCAATAAAATTTATTGGAATTAATTTCATAAAAAATTACTAATTTTCTATAAAAAAATCCAAAATTTAGCTCAAAAATCGCCTGTGGGGCCCACGCCTCGGAACCCGACAAAAGTTATAAAATCCGAAAGCGTATTCAACCACGAGTTTAATCATATAAATTTTACCAAAATCCGACTTCAACTTGATCTCCAAATCTTCAAATCTTATTTTCAAATCCCTAAGTTCAAACCCCCGATTTACACCTCAAAAATATGTAATCTAGTCGGATTATTCGATGATAATTCAATATTATGGAGTAGAAATAATCACAAGGGACTTACCTTGCTCAAAACTCGCCCAACCCGAGCTTGGTATGCCCAAAAAAGGGCAAAAGCTCGGGACTGCTCCAATTTTATTCTGTCTAGGCTCTGTCGCACCTGCGACCAGATTAGCCGTATCTGCGGTCTCGCAGGTGCGACTAAATGTTCGCATATTTCGATCCCCTAAAAGGTTCCCTCCGTTTCTGCGCGTTCCTTTTCGAACCTGCGACCTCGCATGTGCAGAAATTTCTTCGCACTTGTAACTACTGCTCCTCTTCACATCTAGTCGCTTCTGCGATGGCTGGTGCGCACATGCAACTTCGCACCTGCGATCAGACCTTGATGGATCCACCCCAGCCCCCATTCCGAGCACCACTTTTAGAACCAACAAAACCCCTAATCCTGCTTACACACTTTGGTTCTGTCAGGATCAACTTATTTAAAATGCCCTTATGACTTCCGTTGACCCTACCATAGCCTCCACAGTTACCGTTGCTAACACATCGAAACAGGCTTGGGACTCTTTGCCACTGCCTGTGCAAACAAGTCTTAAACCCGAATCTTCGGTCTTCGTGATCAACTTGCCGGAATCACCAAAGACACCACTGCTATCATTGAGTACCTTCAACGTATTCGGTCCCTTTCAGATGAACTTGCTACTGCAGGTGCCTCTGTCACTAATTCCGAACTCAATGTCAAAATCCTCAGTGGACTTGGCCCTGAGTTTCGTGGGATCTCAGGTGCCATATGGGCACGTGACACTACAGTTACCTATGAAGAACTATATGAAAAGTTTCTTGACCATGAGCTCTTTCTTCGACATGAGGAAGCTAAGAAAACCCCTGGTCCTATCACAACAGCGGTTGCCACTCACAACAAGTCAAACTACAACTCCAACAGTAGCAACAATCGCTGCCAATACTACTACTACAACAACAACAACAACAACAACAACAACTCTCAACCATGGAGCAAGAATACTCGCCCCAATACTGCCAGCCAATATCATCCCCCAAACAATAACACCACTGTTGTTATTCCTTGTCAGTTATGCAACAAGATCGGACATATTGCAAGTGTTTGCCGATCCAAGTCATACAATCACTTTGAGGCTAAAGCCAATTACATCACAGGCTTCAACACTACTGCTAACCCGTGGATAGTTGATTCTGGTGCAACACATCACATCACAAAGGAGCCGCATAACCTACAACCATACCACAGTAATGAGGATGTCTCCATGGGCGATGGTAACAAAATTCTCATCTCACATACTGGTTTTACTCAGTTATAAGCATCAAATAATGTTTTTAAGCTAAATGATACTCTATGTGCTCCAGCCATTAAACGCAATCTTATATCTGTATCCAAGCTATGTCATGATAATCTAACATCTGTTTAATTTTTTTCCTTCTCTTTTGTTCTGAAGGATTTGAAAACGCGAACCCCATTGGTGTATGGCCTGAAGAAAAATGGACTATATGAGTGGGCCAATTCACATCCACAAGCTCACATGTCTACCACTACAACCTCTCTAACCACTTGGCATCAAAGACTAGGTCATCCGCATTCTAGAGTTCTTAATTATATCTTGAATAAATTCTCGCTACCATTTGTTGAATGAGTTAAGTTTCATTATTGTAATTCCTGTTTGTCTAATAAATTCCATCAGCATCCGTTTCACACATTAACTTTGGAAAGCTCTAAACCGCTTCAAATTATTTTTAGCGATTTGTGGGGGCCCTCTCATGTTTTGTCCATTGATAAAAAAATTATATTATTGAATCTTTGTTGACCAATACACAAGATACATGTGGCTCTACACACTAAAAAATAAAAGCAAAGTCAAAGAGCTTTTTCAAAAATTCCACCCTTTAACAGAAAAATATTTTGATACCAAAATTCAATCGCTTTACACTGATGGTGGAGGAGAGTATAAAAGTATTGACTCTTATCTCTCGCTTCATGGTATCGAACATCTTTTCACCCCATTCTATACGCCTCAAAGAGTTGCTCTTGCTGAGCATAGACATCGTCATATTATTGAAACTGCAAGAACAATTTTACATGAGGTGTCTCTTCCACCAGTTTTTGGTCATTCGCATGTCACCATGCTGTGTATTTAATTAATCGTCTACCCACATCACTCTTGTATAACTCTTCTCCGTTTTAAAAATTATTTGGCAAGTCAGCTGACTATGCCTCTCTAAGGACTTTTGGACACTTATGTTATCCCTGGCTTAAACCGTACTCTAAAAATAAACTTGAACCCAAGTCTAAACCATGTGTATATCTCGGTTATCTTTGTCCCATCATTGTCATTAGTGCTTTGATCCTACTTCTTCAAAAATTTAATTATCACGAGATGTACCATTTCTTGAAAATAATTTTCCATTAAAAAGTTTATTCTCTAATACTACTATTAGACCCACTAAAGTTAGATTGGACAAATATCACTACTGTTGATTTACCCAGTTCCACCCCTAATTTTTTCCCTATTTTTGATTTTCCCCCTCTCATTAAAACACACATCCCCTACGTAATAGATGATTCCCATCCCCCCAACAATACCTCATCCCCTCTCTCCATTGAACAGGCCTCAGTCCACCATATCCGGCGTACCACCAGCGGCAGATGCGGATTCCCCTCCTTCACAGAGTTCTACTCCAGGTATGTGTACTACTCCTCCTCCAACTCTAATTCCCCAAGACCCCTGCTGCCCAAACCCATCCCTTATGCCTACTGTGAGACCCCAAGCCTTTAATCCCTCTATAAAATCACCTACTCCATCAACCAATCCGCCTCACAGCCCCACTTCATCTCTGCTAGTATACCATCGTCGTTCCCCACACCCCAAATCAACCACTTCAATGGCACCTCCCCCTGCTCCGCCACACGTACCCACCCTTCCAACTCGTATAATCACCCGCTCACAGAATAACATCAAGAAACCAAAACACATTTTTGATTGCCTAGCCTACTCAGAACCATATCTTGTACCACACACCTTTAAACAAGCCTAAAAGCACCCTGAGTGGAGGAAAGCCATGAATTCAGAATTTAATGCGTTACTGAAAAACCATACTTGGGAACTAGTTCCATATGACCCCTCTAAGAATGTTGTTTCATGTAAGTGGATTTTCAGGATTAAAAGGAAAGCAGATGAGTCAGTTGATCGTTACAAGGCGAGATTAGTTGCAAAATTCACTAAGAGGTCAGGCGTTGACTTTCACTTGACTTTCAGTCCGGTGGTTAAACCCACTATTGTACGAATCATGCTTGATGTTCCCTTTCGGTTTCACTGGCCACTTCGTCAATTCGACGTCAACAATGCTTTTCTTCAAGGTACATGACGCAACCCGGGGGCTTTGCTTGTGTTGATAATTCAACTCATATTTATAAGTTGCACAAGGCAATCTATGGCCTGAAGAAAGCGCCTCGGGCTGGGTATAATGCGCTCAAAGGCCACCTTGCCCATATGGGATTTTCTAAGGCTGAATCTGACAACTCCTTATTCATCAGAATTAGTCATGCTGGTTTCATATTTATTTTGGTACATGTTGACGACATAATAGTGATCGGCAGCAACCCCATCAATGTCAATAAAGTTATAGCCTCTGTTGCCTATCGCTTGTCCATTAAAGATTTGGGAAATCTCAATTATTTTCTTGGTGTTAATGTGGTTCGAAACACTAATGACATTATTCTCTCTCAAGCCACTTATATCAATGAAATCCTGAATAATAAGTTGATGGCCGATTGTAAGAGCGCAAACACACTGATGAGTGTTTCTGAGTTGCTCAAACTCAATGATGGGGCTCTATTAACTGATGTGACTCGCTGCCGTCGAGTCCTGGGAAGACTTCAATATTTGTCTTTTACAAGGCCAGACATTTCTTATGCAGTTAATAAATTATCCCAATTTATGCAATCGCCATCTGATCTTCATTGGAAAGCTGTGAAGCGAGTTCTTAGGTACCTTCATGGTACGATCAAGTTTGGCCTACGTGTGTCCCCAAATTTTGATTTCAATCTGTGCATATACTCTAATGCGGACTGGGCTAAAGATCTCACTGATAGATCCTCCATATCTAGTTATATTCTCTTTCTTGATAGAAATCATATCAGTTGGTCCTCTAAAAAGCAGAAGAATATAGCTCGCTCATCAACTGAAGCTGAATATAGAGTTGTGGCCAATGCACTTGCCGAACTACTGTGGGTCAGAAACCTATTGCTTGAGATGCAAATTCATGTCAGACATACCCCTACAATCTACTGTGATAACATTGGTGTCACTTATCTAAGTGAGAATCCGGGCCTTCACAGTCGCATGAAACATATTGAGGTGGACTTTCATTTTGTGTGCAACCATGTTGAATAAAAGGTGGTTCAAGTTGTTCATGTTCATTCTGCTAACCAACTAGCTGATATGCTCACCAAAGCACTAGCCAAACCATCCTTTGAACGCAATTTGTTCAAGTTAGGCTTAGTGACACATAGCCTAACTTGAGTGGGGCGTATTGGATCAACAGTCCTTGTTACTAGTAGTTATAAGTTTATTTTTAGTATTTATCTCTTTAGATTAGATTGCATTTATCTTCTAGATTAGATGATATTATAGTTAGGTATTCAGAGTAGGATTCGTCAGTTATTTGGTTTACATAAAACTCTAGAAAGATGGTTATTGTAACTTGTATTTAAACTCATTGAGGCATTCAATAACAGACACAGTATTTCCATCATCTATTCAAGTGTTCATAATTTGCACAAATAGGATCATAAAGTGTGAACTCTAAGATTCCAACAAATATTGGTGACTTTGGGACTTCAAGGCATCGGGCAACAAGTGAGAACATAAGAGCTATGTGTAGACAGCTCTAAGATTGAGTGTTTATTTAACTTTAATTAGTAAATTTGAGTGTAGTGTGTGAGAAGTCTGCAATATCGCTACAACATGTTTCTTGTGACAGTTTGAGCAGAAGCACTCTAAATCTACCTCATTTCTTAGATACATCGGCTTATTTGTTGATATAATATTGTACATTTGAGTCTTAATATAAAGATGACGACATGAACAATGAGAATTCATATAGCTAACTCTAACTTCCTGTATATGAGGCTTTGTTGTTATTGTTGAGTCTTCATGTAAGTGCTCAATCTTTGGAGGGAGTTCACTACTCATCACCCCTGGTCCTATACTCAAAAGTGAAAGTCGTTCTCCTCCTGAAATTATGAATACCTTTTATTGTGAAGTTTTAACTATTTTAATGATTCATATCCAGCTAGACATATAAGGACAGTAGCAACATGTAAGGACAAATTCATTAAAATGATTCTCCCATCCTATTTTATTTGTTACTTTGTGTTCGTTGATGCTATATAAAATGTTTTTAACTATAATTTTCACTTTGAAATTTCTACCAGCATGGTACTAAAATATATCAGTACACGTCTAATCGTTTATATATCTGAAAATTTGACATAGAACTGAAAAAATCAGTATACATAGGAGTATAATAAATACACTAAACTTAAAAACAGCCTAAAAATTGGACACAAACCAACTTTCTTGTCTTTTGAATTTCAGAGACTTTTTTCCTTCATTTCCTGATTTTAGCTGTTGTGAACATGCATTGCGCGAATTCATATAGTAAGTAGCGGAACACAACTTACTTGAAATTGAGATATAATTATTATTATTTCTTGATTTTAAACTTAATATAAAGGTAAGACTGTGATATGATCGGATCAAAAGAAACAAAATATTCAAATGTAAGTGCCATACCAGCTCTCCTCTATTCCAATTTATACAATAACAAATTAATTGAAGAGTCAATCAGAACACTTTTTCTTTGACTAAAATTTTTCTCACATTGTTTAAACTTTTCCAATATAAGCTCTTGCTAACGAATTTAGAGATTAAAAGGAAGCAGAAAAATAGGACTTTTATGACCAACCATGGATTGGGTTTGGG